TAACATAGCTAATTAGTTTTATATAAGGTTTCGACAATCCACGCCACTCATCATCCAGTACTACCATCGTGTGAACATGCCAAGGAAACACTTAATTTTATATAATTATCTTCAGCTATCCATGAATATTATCAGTAAATGAAAATCAAGTGTACATCAATGTGATTTATGAAACTATGTACTGTGTGGTTCAGTCAGTTTGGACTTAAGCAAACATGAGACAGTATGACAGATTTTAAGATACAGTATGCCAATAATCTTGCCACTATAAGCTTTATTTTTCTATATTAAATTATTTCTTTATTCTGTTCACATTTCAGCTGAAACCAAAAACACTTGCAACGATGTGATTTTTACGGCAGAATAACTGTCTCAGAAAATATCACGGTTTCATGGAATACGGTATTACAGAATTATAATTATTATCCGTTACAATGACCCTTGAGGAATGTAAACAGTTATAAACATTAATAACATTAATAAGGTACAATTTAATACCATAGATGGTGGTATGATAACTGTCAATCTTTATACCACAGTATACCATGAAACCGGTATGGTTGGGTATTGGAGACTAACTCTGCCTCGCCTGGCAGTTTGGCCAAATACTTTATTAGTGTCATGTTTAGTGAGAAATAGTTTTAAGATTTTTTCTGTGTCCCTCAAATTTCCTTCCTTTTCCTATTTTTTTCATATTCCAATAGTTTACTATTCCTTTAAAACACAAACATCCAGATCAACAAGTTCATGTTACTCATAGAAAAACATCTGACTATTGCACTTTTACAACAGCAAGGCCCGTCTCTGCTTTAATTTAATATTCAAAGCAGCATTTTTGTCCAGTATAACATTTGGCTTGCAAACAAGGCACAAACGCTATTTCAATCCATGATAATAGTTGCACAGCCAGTAGTCTTGAGGCTGTGGAAGCTGACAGACTCACTGCGGCACCAGTGTGTGCACTTTGAGGACCAATGCCCAGTAGCAATGCAGTAAATTTAACCTAGGGCCTGTATCGGAAACCAAGTTAAAAAACTTCAGTGAGCCTAACATTGGTGGCTCTACATAACTGGTGTCACAAAGCTGGTTATCAACATGTTCTATTAGTTGGAGTATTTGAGATTATATGAGAAGAGACTGATACTTTATAGTGGCAGCAGCAAATGATAGCGATAGTGTTTAACAGCATTAATAATCACACAAGCTTTAGAAGCACTAGAAATAATATTCACATATAAAAAATAAGAATTATTATATATATCTTGGTATGAATATGTGACGCATAAAAAGCTATTAATAATGATGTTTCTGCTGAGAAAGCAGAAGGAGAAGAAAAGAAGTTGATGTCTTAGAGCTCTACCTGACCAAAATGTGGGGTTTAAGAACTAAGCAAATTGACAGTATGTGGATTCAGTTAGTAAACTATTTATTTTCAGCATTTTTATCTGAGCGTAGGTGACTGTAGTGTGATGTTTCATAAAAGCCATTGACACTGTCAGGAATCCTATTAATTAAAATGCGCTTAGTTTGCTAAATGGTATTTCTGTTTGTTTGAAGCCCTGTTTTAATAGAGTGGACACAATGAAAGTCTAGAAAAGCAAAGTGATTGTTCTGATCTAAAAATATTTATCTAATATCTATTACTCTTTATTACTTGTCACTTTACTGTAAGCTCAGTAATTTTGTCCATATATATATATATATATAGAAATATATACAAAATACAGACAGGAACCTTAAACCTTAAACATAGCTGGCTAACCCACTAATTGCTTCATGATATAGGCTCCAGATTCACTCACCTTAGCTGTGGAAGCTATTAGACTTGTAATGGAGCACCAGTGTGTGCGCTTTCTGTGTCCTGTAGCATCACCACCACCCCTCTTACCTAGACAAAAAGTCAGTCATTCCTATTTGGAGTTTATATCTTACTGTGTATTTATGATAATGTATTTTGGATACTGTACTGTACTGTATTGGGTTGCTTTAACTTGTGAGTGCCTCTTGTCTTTTAGGCCTAAATCTCGTAGCATAAGCCCATCTGTTAATTGCCTTATGAAACTTGTATTTTTACACTGTACTTTTAACACTTCCTGTTAGCATCACTGTATCAAGACTCTGTTTTAGCTCTATCATTGTGATTTGCTTTTTTTATCAAAGAAAGATTAAACTGCTAATATTTGAAAACAAGTGAAAGTGCTTTTATTTTTATTGTTTTACAACAACGGAGGTATGTTCTGTTATCTGATGATTTCTCTCAACCAGTAAAAACCGGTGTACACACATGGTGTGAGGAGTCTTGTGATAGGAAGTGAGTCATGCAGATGTGTTTGTGCTGAGCTGTGTTTTGCATTTTGTTCATGGTCTGGTTGTGCGACATTGTCATTTCTTGTAGTTTGCCAATCCTGCCTGTCATCTGCGTGCGTTTGTTTGGGCCTCGCACTCCAGTGTATACTTCTGCTGCTAATCAGCTGTACACCTCAGTTGTTACACAGGAAAGGCTCACTGCTTATTCCATTACAGCTCCTCCACAACTGTACAGTAACCTGACACCAGTGCCTTACATTTTCTCTTACTGTAAGATAACAATAAAAGTAGTAAACACAGATCAAGAGCGAAGAGCTTTTTCTGGAGAAATACAAAATTCCTAAAATGTCTCCTGCAGTTTAAATTTTTTGGACTAACTGTAAAATACAAACAAACAATAAATTAAGTTTAATAAAATAAGCAGCCCTCCATGTGTTGAATTTACCGTCAACTCATTACTCCACATTCACGGAAATGACCTATCATAAGTTAAAGAGGCAAGTTGTGTGTCAACTTTCTAGTTGCATACCTATCAGACTGTTTTGTTATCTGTCTGTGTTCAGATATATCAAAACATTCACATGCTGTGATTGATTCAGCAGAAGAAGAAAGGAAGAAAACAAATGCTCTGATACGATCTTTAGCAAAAACATTGAGGTGAAACTCTCGTAGTTTAACCTCATGTCCTACAACATAAACATAAAATGGCTAGATTACAAACATTAACTGCACATGACTGCACATTTAGCATTGACAAGTATTGGTGTAGTTGTACTGACTTGCTAAAGAGTTTTAATAGAAGTTTAAAAGGTTTTGAAAGAGCTTTATAGCTACAGTGTTGCAGTGACTTTAATTGATAAACAAGAATACATGTTATAACAGTGTTAAAACATTGCAGGTGATTTAGGTGCTGATGAGATTTGAAATATGAACCAGGAAGCCTAGTTTGAGTAACAGGTGAATGAATATGTTTGAGGGATCAGATGCCAAAACACAATACTGTGATTGACAGACACGTTACAGTGTCCCACATTGTTTTGTAGTTTTTTGGTCATAAAAGGGACAAATTAAAAATCGTACCTGATAATGCCAGTAGAGGAAAGGTCAGGGAGTCAAATGATTTCATCCTAAAAGAGACATGGATGCCCGTATCAAATTTCAAAGCAATGGATCTGATAGATAAAACCACAAATGTGAACCTTATGGTGGCACTGTAGGAAAAGTCTTCATCCTCTGGCTGAACAGACTTTTGAAGCTATCCATCTAGTTAGATGTAATGATCAATGGATAAGTTCAAACTTTGACCAGCTGCTGGTAGCGCTAGATAAAATTTGGAAGATCAGTGAAGTCTTTAAGATTCATCCTGTGGGCACCATATACAAAATAGGAATCCATCCAATAGTTACTGATATATTTCAGTATGGACCAAAGTGGTGGGCTGACTGACCGGATGTTTGCCCGACATTGTAAACTCGAGCCAGTTTTTCATTAATTTCACTTGCATGCTTCATTTAAACCTGCTGGGTTTTGTGTGGAACCCGGCTGAGAACCCAAATGCAAGACACGGAGCTGAGCAGACACAGTTCTTAAGACTTAATGATCAAACTTAAAGCGCTCACACAGGAGGGGTGGAGAACAAACAAAAACAACCGAAAACGCACCGTCCAAACACACGAAACATATCCGACAAGGCCAAAATAATAAACACAGATGTGCACAAACCAGGATCATGACAAAACCACTCTCTGCCCTGGTTAACTTTATGATAAAATAAATAAATTTTCAATACAAGGCCACACAAGACAGCTGCATGTTATCAGAGTCATCTCATATGGTTTTAAGATCAGCTATGATAAAATATATATTTTTACAAACCAACATACTGTAAATGTCTAATATAAAGTGAGTTGGTATTGAAGGTAAAACACATAGAGGAAGTTGACGTGAGTAAGCTGAACTTGGGGTTACTATATGTCACAGTACAGTGTATCACACGATTACTGCCTTCCTCAGGAAGCATACTTACTATTTTTGTTACACACTTCCTCTGTCAGCTGGAAAGTTCTGAGTTATAGTTTGTGAGATATTTGTGTAATGACATAATCTTTTGTTTGGATGAGACAACACTTATGTGCAGTAGTTGCTTTTCTCTGGACCTTTAAAGACTGTTTGAGAACTGAAGCAGGCTAATCAATGATGAGAAATTTTATTTCAAAGAAATTTTGAAGCAGTTTTTCTTCTTTGAACAGGAGCTTTACTTAGTTATTGAGTATGCTTACTCGTCATACAATCCACAATGGGTTGGTGCTGATGTACTGTATTGCAAATACTGTAAGTGTTAGGATTTGGTTTTTGTACTGTTTTTCCGGTGTTTATTTGATATTGTCTTGGTTTGGAGTTTTGTAATCTAGTTTATTATTTTGGTTCTTTCGTTTTTAGTTTCTTAGTCACTGTCTTCTCTCTCATCTTAGTTCTTCTTCCTGCACCTTGGTTCTTGTTTTAGTATTTACTTCAGGTTCCTTGTCTACATTATTTTGGGTCTAGTCTCCTTTGTACTTCTCTGTGTTCTCCTTTTGAGTTCCTGTTCATTGTACATGTGTGTTTCTGTCTTATTGGTTATTCTCTATGCCCCATGTCTGCTTGTCTAGTATTCAGTAACCTTGTCTTGTCTGTTACCCCAGTGATCCCTCTGCATGTCTGTCTTTGTTTTCCCCTTCTCTCTCTCTGCCTGTGTGTTGCTCTCTCTCTCTCTCTGCCTCCCTGCCTGTCCTCCCGCCCTGCTCCTTAGTCCCTGTGTGTGTATATACCTGGTGTTTCTGTCTTGTCTTTGTTGGTTCATTACTTTCTATGTGCGTTATGATCCCTTGTTGTCTGCCTACTCGTCATGTTTCCCTGCACCATTGGATTCCTATTTCTGTTTGGACAGCTTTTGTGTTTCTGGACTTTGTCATCAGCCACTCAGTTTGTAAGTGTGCTCGCTTTTTGTTGCCTTGAATAAACTGTCTGAACTTTACCTGCTAGCCTATGTGTCCTGTGTTTGGGTCCAACAACTTGCTCAACTCTGTCATAACCACCACTGAACGTAACAGTAAGTACTGTTTTTATGGTATTTATGAGTCTTTCCATTCTATGCTACTTTATACATCTACTCTACTATATTCCACTGGCAAATATTACACTTTCTATTCCATTACATTTAGTTGACAACTAGCCTTTTATTTTAAATATTAGGCAATGGTGGACCTGCCGACTCCGGTGTTCTCTGGCAAATGCCAATCAAGCGGCATGGGGCTGGGCTGTGAGTCCAGATCCCACTAGAGCATGTCAGGCCCTCATGCCACCCTCACGGAGTCTGTTTGTCTGACAGTCAGGAATGTGCACACCAGTAACCCGCAGGAGGTCATTTCGTAGGGGTCTGGCAAAAGGGCTTGTGCAATCTGAATGGGCCACAGGAAACGCCTCATGCTAGTATTGGTAGTATTCCTATAGTCCTCAGTAGTGACAACTTCAAGAGCTTCTTTAATGATAAAATTCTAATTATTAGACAAAATTCACCAAGACCTGCCCTTAACTGGCACCAACTTATCTCAAAACTGCTTTGCTTCTTTCATTCTTTAGCATTCAATAATTTCTTCATCTAAACCATCAACCTGCCTCTAAGACCTCATCCCAACTACACAGCTTAAGTTATACCCTTAGTCAGTACTTCATTACTTGATATGATTAATCTGTCTTTATAAACAGGCATAGGAAAAACACGCATCGCAAAACAGCGCGAGGGCTGGCTTGACTGTCGTTTTCGAAGTGGAGGCTGGCTTGACTTCAGTGCGAGAATCGTTTGAGTGAGTGACTTTTATCCTTGATCAGGCACAAGGACCAGCAGATTCATGTGGTCTCTTCAGGGAAGATGCTGCTTGTGATTTGCCTGTGGACCGTCTCCTGTAAGTGAGCAAACTTTTATACAATAACTGAAAGTAAACAGCCAGAAGCCTGCATACAAAAAGGCGAGTAAAAGAGTAGGCTTAACTCTCATTTTTATTAGTTCGACTGCCTTGCACTGTAGTTTTGCATGTGGATTATTGCATTATTACTCGCCCCCGTCAGCAACACTTATTACGGAAGTTATATCCAACACCTACACGGAGAATTTATAGGATGATAGTTTCATTAAGGTGTTTAAAATAAAACGTATCAAAGCGACAAAACGCCGATAGGTTTACCGTTTATTGTAGATTAGAAGATAACAAACGTCATTCATAAAATTAATATTTGAAAATGTTTTATTGTTGAGCCACACAGATTGTCTCGACAGTTGTTTTCACACATGTGAATAATGTAAACGAGGTGGGATGTAACGCATAGTATGCTACTCTAAAATGTTTCATCAGCTGTGTGAAAGAAAAATATCTCAGGAAAACCGCACGTGCATCTTTCAGGATCCTCGCCTCGCTCTCAGCTCTTCATTACCATAATAACACCTTACGCGCAACAAAAGGTAGGATGGCTTGACCAGACCAAGGTTTGTGTTTCAGCGGCTCACAGAATGTTGAAAAGCCGCTGCAGAGTTTCCTCGTGTGCTGAAAGAGTCTGGGTGGGATCGTCAAGTGAACTGTAGAGACAGCTGAGGGGGAATTCCAAGAGGGTGCATCGGTATTCTGTAACCTATGAGTGAATATGACAAGTTATTACCTACTGAACCTCTAAACAGTGTTAGGAGTATAACGCAGTGTTTGAAATAACTTTAATACTATATCTAGAATCAAAGCCAAATCGCTTGTTGTAGCATAATATATTTGTCTTTTTCCTCAGTTGGATATTTCCCCCGTTGCAGTGCACAAGATCTTCCCTGCACCATCACCCAGGATGCTGGACAGACACGTTACAGTGTCCCACAGTTCAAGACAACCAACTGCTATTATTGGTGGACCAACAGCACTGTAAGTTAAATGTTTATAAACTTTTTTTCATTAGACAGACACATCTTCCTAATAGATTAAAAAATGCTGGGCACAACACCATCCTTTTATCAATCATGTAAGTAAAGGCGGCTGGGTGAAGACTCAAATGCACATAATACAGGCAGACAACAGTTCAGCAAAGTGATGCAATACTGACAATCTGGCCATGAGCAGGTGGAAATGAACTGTTATAAATACTTGGAGAGATCTAGGAAATGCATGGGTGTCGGGAGGGAGAGGAGACTGAAGGAATGAACTAAGGCAGAAATTGGGACACCTATATAGACCTTTCTCATGACATTCTGACTTGTAGCAGGAAAACGAGCACAGTAACTAAGCAAAGGCTCTGTTAAATGTTAACGTGTCAGTGGGTCAGCATGCACAATTGACTACAGCCATTATTGATTATTTATACCTGTGTTTGAAGTAATGGTATACCTATGAACTATCACACACCTTTAGCAGTATCACTATCATTTTGAAGTAGTTTGTAAAGATGTTTTCATTTTGTTCTTATTTAAGAAACACATGCTGGCAAATCACAAGGGGAAAAGTGGTGAGGTGGTGATGAAGAGCAACTGGAGTCTTCTTATCAGTGGCTGCTCAGAGAGCATCCACTATGAGCGAGATTGTGTTTCTGAGGTATTACACTGACCTACACATGAAAGACTTTAAGCAGGGATGCAGAAGAGAGCAAGATATTCTGAATTATGTGAGAGATACTGTTCCAGTCATATTTGCTATGTGATGGGAAGATTTAAGCAATGAAACATAAAACTAATGAAAATCCACATTAACACATTGCTCATCTTTCTGCTTAGATACCACGCAAGGCAAACTGCATCAGTGAGTATCATTACCTGTCAAACTGATTAATTTGTGAGGTATTTGAACTAGTATTGTAAAAATGTAGTTCATTTCACGTGGTTTATTTTGAAGTGATATGTCTATTTTCATTTAACCAATGTTCTGATGTAAAAATATCTTCTTTTTACAGCCAACTGCAGTCCAAGTGCTGTGCTTCAGAATGGGGGAGGTAGGGACAAACTTAATTTTGTCCCTCTCACTTCAGTGAGAAAGAGAAAGTGTTATTTGCAGTCAGTATTGTCTTAAAAAGACAAAGCAGTAGCGGGCAGAAGCAAATATATCTTATATCGATCATAAATGGTGCTTAAAGTGGGCCAGAACGCGCCGATACGTTGTACCGGCACCTCAACATTTTACTCATTGGTGTACCCATGACATTGTCTTGCATACCGGACTTCTCCCAAGCTGCCGGTACTATCCTCTGCCCTCATAATATGCTGTAACTATACAGTGACTGAGCCTGTCTTCCCCCCACATATTGTTTGTTTATGTTTTAAATAGAGCAGCATTCAGAGAGGTGAACAATTTTAGGCTTGGTGTGAATGTAAACAAAGTGAGACAGATGCAGAAAGATGTGAGTGGGCACGAACAGAAGCAAATTTCCCCAGGACTGAACTGTGGCGAAGACACATCAACATGGTCCAAATTTGGCCTTGTAGATATAATATGAGTCAAGATTCAGCAACTGGATTGCTAATTTCTTTCATAAAATTTGTTCAGAAACAGATTTTGGTGGACTGGTTGTAGTTTCTAGGAGTTCTAAAATCCACCGACTTCAGCTACGGCACATTACTACGGCTATGGCGCGTTAATCGCGGCCATTATAGTCAATGCTCATGAGTCCACCAGACGTGGCTGCAGCACATCCCAGAAGCGCCTCTCCTCTCTATTTTTGCCACGTCAAGCAGCACACAGAGCAGATCGTACCAGGCAGGAAGTCAGACACAGAATGGCATAGAGAAATAAAACACCCTGTGGAGACTCCTGATCGTAAAACAATAAACATGGTTAAAACAGACACAAAAATAAATAATTTAACTACTGTACAAAAGACTCTGAACCTTTCCTTTTCCCGTGTAAGATCCATTCTGTGTTTCGGTTGGGTGGGTGAGAGCAATCAGGTCGGGTAAACGTGACGTCACCATTGCGGAACTACAGGTGAGGGTACCACACCGTGCTCATTACGTTGTGTGCAAGCTAGTTGTTCGTGTTACTACCATAACGTGTTGTACTCCTCAGAGGTGTGCGTCGATGGCAGGAAAAACCACACCCACACCCCCTTATGTCTCAAATACAATAACGTTGAACCATCCTTCCATCTCGACTCCCATTTCCTCTAAGAAGTACTCCAGAAGTACCTCCTGGCCTTAAGTAGTGTTCTGGCCGACACTCCAGGTGGAGTGCGGTGATAACTACGACTGGTGGTTTACAACCCTGAACCCTAGTTGTTCTCACGTACAACTACGTAGGCTACTTAATCACAGAAGCACAAAATGCAAACACTGATTCTCAAATGAACAAAATCTAAACATGTCAGCAAAACGCTCCGATTCTGAGTTGACGGGTTGACGGGATGAAACGGGGTCACATAGAGCTGTGAAGAAGTTAGTAGAAGCACAAAAAGGACAAATGAATAACATGTCAATAACGTGAGGCAGGCTGCACGCTCCGCTACTGACGCTTCTGTGGACTTTGACACCGGGCTATGGATGCATCAAAACCGTGGCGCAGCCATAACGTGCCGTAGCCGGAGTCATTGGATTCCCGGCGTAAGCTAAGCACAGACAAATTCCACACACAGTTGGTGGGTCAGTTACTAGCTAGCTCACAGTTAACATCTGTTAAAGGTTCTCCGTTGTACACATTTCCATTAAAATTATACAAGAAAAAACAATGATACTGGCTAAACATGTCTAATCACATCATTTGGATTTTTGAGATGCAAATAAAATGTGGATTAACTGTCAAACTGTTCTCATGACAGGGATTTCCCGGAACCACTGGGTTACTGTTTCTTTTGTCACCATCCTGTTGCTGCTGCTGGTGGTGGGGATTCTCCTGTACAGCTTCAAGAATTCTATTTGCAGGTATTTTTAATCATGTCATATTGTAGCATTATATTAAAACAGGACACTGCCCTCATCTGGCATTTTTTAATGCTCTGTTGTTGTGGGTAGGAAGATGCAGAAAAGATTTAATGCTGGTGTGAAGGTGCAGAACAATCCCCCCAACACGGCCGAGGAGGAGGAACAGCGTGTGTAGAAAAGCTACTTCTATATTTTTCCATATTCATGCTGAAGCTTTTTGTGGTGTTTCCCCATCTTTTTTCATTACCACATTATCTCTATCTGAGTTGCCTTATACATTCATGCTAGTTCAGGTTATGTTACAGTGATGAAAGAATTGGGTTTTAGGTGGCAAAATAACATAGCCGATTAGTTTTTAATGAGGTTCCTACAATCCATGTGACTCTCCTTCATCCGGTATTACCATCATGTGAACATGCCAATGCTGCCAAAAGTTCCAGGGAAAACTTTATTTCATATAATAATCATCAGCTATCCATGAATTTAATCAGTAGATGAGAATCATGTCTGTATAGTTTAACTATCTAAATTGTGGTGCAATCAGTTTGGACTAAAGCAAACACTTACAAGACATTATTGTGTTTTAAACTGGCCCGTAAGGAATTTAAATTTTATTTCACTAATTGTAATAACATAGAATTAAATACATAGACACGAAAATGTCCATGCCGTAATTTTTATTTCTCACTATACCATGAAACTGGTATACAACTGCAACCCTACCGCAGATGGTTTGGCAGTTTTGGCCATGTGTTTGATTAGTGTCATGTCTAGTGGGAATTGGCTTTAAGAATTTTTCCTGTGTCCCTCCTTTTGCTACTGTAGGATCAAAGAGATAAGACTGCCACCAAACAAATCTCTTACAGTAGCAGCATATTCACCAAGAGCTGACTACTCCTGTAAAACATCTTCCTGTTTGTCCTGAAACATCCAGAGCAACAAGCTCAGCCACAGACCCATAGACAACCATTTGATCCTTTTCAAACAGCAAGGCCCATCTCTGATTTCCTTTATAATCAACACAGCAACATTTTGGTCCACTATCAAGTTTGTTGTGAAAACAAAGCACAAACTCTATTTCAACATTTCCAACCATGATAATAGTTGCACAGCCAGTAGTCTTGAGGCTGTGGAAGCTGACAGACTCACTGCGGCACCAGTGTGTGCACTTTGAGGACCAATGCCCAGTAGCAATGCAGTAGATTTTCCCCTGCAGCCTGTATCAGGAAGCAAGTTAAAAAAACTTCAGTGAGCTTAACATTGGTGGCTCTACATCATTCACAAAGCTGGGTATCAACATGTTGTAGTAGTTATGGGTTTATCTGTCCAGTTGAGTTTTTAATTACAAGAAACACCATCTGAATCAAGGAGTACTTGAGATTATGAGATGAAACTGATTCTTACAGTGGCAGCAACAAGTGATTTGCCTATTAAACAAATTAATAATCACACTAGCTTTAGAGAAACTAGAAATAATCGCATATTAAAATAAGAATTAAATATAAATATTAAGAATTATATATATAAATATTTGGTCATCTTTCTGAGTGTTGTCTCATAGTATGAATGACCTATAAACTGTTATCAAAATGTGACACAAAGTTAAAAGTAGCTAATGTTTCTGTCTTATGGGATCTACACGACCATCACAAAGTTGCCTTGTGTTAGTGTGAGTCGAGGTGACCATAGTGTGACATAACAGTCATGTAAAAGCTATTGACACTGTCAGGAATCCTGTTGGGAACAAATTAAACTATTTAACATGCAGTAAATGTATCAAATACATACGGGAACATTTGATTTGATCGTAAAAGATAGCTGGCAAACCTACTAATCCCGCTTCATTATAGGCTCCAGGTCTACTCGCCTTAGCTGTGGAAGCTATTAAACTTGTAATGGAGCACCAGGGTGTGTGCTTTCAGTGTCCTGTAGCATCACCACCACCCCTCTTACCTGGACATTAAGCCTTAACAAACCTTAATTACTCCAATTTGTACTTCTATCTTACTGTGTATTCATAACAATGTATTGGGTTAACTTGCTGTTAACTGCCTTATGAAATTTATATTAACATCACTGTATCATGATGCTGTTTCATTGTAATTTGCTTTTGTTATAAAGAAAAGATTAAATTGCTATTTTAAAAATGAGTGTTTTTACTGTTGTACAACAAAGAGGTGGGTTTTATCTGATTTCTCTCATCCAGTTAAAATGAGGGTACCGAGGTGGCATGAGGAGACAGGAAGTGAGTCATTGGTGGTGTGTTTGTGCAGAGTATGTACTAGAGACATATGTCCAAAGATGTTTTACAGAAACATTTTTGACATGTGGGTCTAGAAAGTGTTGAAAAAAAAAAAATTATCATTTTTTCAAATTCCCATCACACAGGGAAAGCTCACTGCTTACTACATTACAGCTCCTCCACAAACTACTGTAACCGGACACCAATGTTTATTCCCTTAACCATTAAAGTAGTGAATACCATACTGATAAAGCGGAGAGCATTGGAGGTATACAAAATACTTCCTGCACATGTTTAATATACAGTAAACATAATACCCCACTGACATGGTCATGACCTATCATTAAAAACAGAAGTTGTGTGTCTGCTAGTTGCATAACTTCTAGCCTTGGTGCGTAATTATGTGCTTGTGGTTAAATATATCGCATGACTGTATACGTCACGCATGTTACAATAGTGTTACTGGTTCGGCAAATGAGAAAGGCAGGAAGAAAACAAACACTAATTTAATCTGTAGCATAGAAATGTTGGTGACACACGTAGTATATCATGGCCCAAAATTATAACAATACTCGATACAGATTATAAACAACAACTGGACGTGACTACACACATTGTACTTACAAAGATAAGCTATACAGGTGCAGTGACTGTGCCGCATTGACTTTATAATAATCAGTTGATTAACGATGATAAAGATTAACAAGAATAGGTGTTCAGACTAAAAAAAAACCCTGTGTTAAAAAAATGCAGCTGCTTCAGATGCTGGTGAGACATGAAATATGATCCTCAAAGCCCAGTCTGAGTAACAGATTAATGTGTCTCAGGGCTTATCAGGTGCCAAAAACACAGTATTGTAATTTATAATACTGAAAGGATTCTAGCACTCTGGAAAGTTGTCATGCTGGCAGTATTCTCTATGGACAAACAGAAGAAGTATGGTGTCCTTAGGTACGGTGGTGATTGGAGTTAAAAGCTGCATGAAACAGAAAGTAGGGACAAAAGGACTAATGAAAAATGTTAATGGTGGTAGAGGAAAAGTCAGAGGGTCAAATGAATATCCATATCATATTTCAAGGCAATGGATCCATTTGAACCACTTTACTCAAAACCATAAGTGGTTACTACAGAAATGGTGTTATTAGCAGAACAGTTTCCAAAGGCACTAGTATACTTCCTCTGGTGACCATTAATGTTTGTCCAAACTTTTGTGCCATTTCTTTAAGTTGCTGTTGAGATAAATTTCCAGGGGTTCTCATCTCATTATCAACGCTTTCACACAGTGTGACAAAGCATAATTCTTTGTCACTAAAGGTAATCTTCAGCGTCCGTATGAAACGCCACAGTTGACCACATCACAGAAACACAAAGGAGGCTGACCCTACTTGCCAGCACATTGGCCGTGAGCAATGTGCACAGCTGTAGAGTTAGCCGGTCGACGTGCATAAAGTCAGTGGCTTAGGTTTAGGCACTAACATTTCTGATGATCATGGTAAGGGTAGGGGGCTTTGGAGAGCTGTCAGCACGAACGTAGCTAGCACGTAGTCTCATAGAGACCTTTAGCATCAAATAATTGCGCTTTGTCACTTTTTCTGAAAGCGTTGGTAGCCTATTGGACGCCCTGAGATGAAAACAGTCTGAAATTTCGATATGTTAGTGGAAAATGTGACCTGCTGGTGGTGTTTGAGGAAAAGTCAGGGGAACACCAAGTGATTCACCCTGAGGGGGACATGAATATCTGTAGTAAAAAATTTCATGGATAGTTAAGTCATTTAATTCAAAACCACAAATGTCAACCTCATGGTGCCGCTAGTGGAAAAGCCAGCTGGCCCCGAAAGTCATTAGAATAAATCTTCTGGAAACCGCAAATGTCTGTACAAACTTTTGTGCCATCAGTCAGATGCAGAAATAACTAAAAGTCAGCATCCAGAATGCAATCCTCCATTAGCCAAACTGAAACATGCTGAGTGTTGTACAGTGGTTACCAAGACAACATTGAGAATAGAGACACTGGGGTTTTTGGAGGTGTAGGCGCACAAGTCATGTGCTGCTCAATGTTTAACTATGTGTGCAGTGTGTGTGTGTTTTTGTGATAAAGATCTGAGAGAGTGTAGAGGAGCAAACCCACATGAATGTCTAATATAAAGTGAGTTGTAAGAAGTTAGAACAGGTAGAGAAAGTTTTGTTAGGCCATGTGTGTGAGTGAGGTTAATTTAAGTATTTGGACATGCCCTCTGTTTTGGTAAACAGGATCAAACTGGTTACAGTTGGCTTCTCTGGCTTCTCCCGGAAGCTCACTGACCATATTTGTGACACAGTTCTTGTCTGATGTGCTGAGGAATGTTGTGAGATATTTGGGTAATAACATAATCTTTTGTTTGGATAAGGGCAGACACTCCTAAACACTGAGAAGCTCAATATAAGTAGTGCAAAATAGAGTACATGTGCTCAACTTATGTATCCTGTGCTACTTCATACTTCAAGATTCTACTCTAGTACATTTATTTTACAGCTATTACTTTGAAGATCTAATAGAATAGAGTACAACAGCTAAGGCTGGAAAATAATCTTTGGTCTCACCAGACCTATTAAAACATAACTGACTAATAAAAACATATATAGACATATAGAAATATAATCAGTTTATAAAAAATGATGCATTGTTATAGATTAAACTATTCAACATTATATGAAGTAGTTAACATTAGCTTTACTTTGAGCAGTTACAACATGAAATGTAAAATAACACTGACAGTCATTTTGCCGCATAACAAGTACTTTTACTTTTGTTTTGCTGACAATATATGTGTACTTTTACTGGAAATGCTAACTAAGAGCTCTGAATTCAACAGATACAAGAGATTTTTTAGCCATTTAGACAGGTACAGGGCAGTACAGTTATACTGGAATTCTTGGGCATAGTTTATTTTGTACAAAAAAAAAGGCATGTTAAGGCACTTACAGAGCAGCATAAAAATAAACACGCTCTATATAATAAAAATGCAGACTTTGTTAAAAAAAAAACGCATGGTGAATTATATAAGATGGGCTGGGGAAAGACTGCTCACATTGTGTTTCGTTTCATTCGACCAAGTTATTCTTTAGTTGACTACAGCCCTCGTTTTGGAAAAGTGTGGGGTGGAGGGTTTAAGATGCCATTTGACCATGCTACAGCACTTATGCTTGAGTAAAATGGTGTTAAGTGGGGATCCAGAAAGAAAACAGCTGCATTGGTGAGGGGATGTCTTTTAAGGCATCAGTGCGACAATTTAATATAATCCAGGAAGTCCAGATTAATGTGCTTAATGGCTTATCAGATGCCAAAACACTGCACAATGGTTTGTGATACTCACAGGACATGATTTTACAACTCTGGAAAGTTATCATATTGTTTATTTAGCAGCTAAATACCCCACTACTTCACCAGCTAGTCTCTAACTGTCTCTGTCTGCTGTTTGATGCTGAGCAGGTACAATGGGTTTTTAGAGCTTCTTGACCGTAACCAATGAACCGTAAAGAGCTGCAGATTGATCAATTGATAATTCTCTGTAGGTTCATCACTACCAGCGACAAGTTTCACGTTATTACGTTGTAATTTGATACGTTGTTATTTTAAAATTATAAAGTATTGTGACTTTAAGTAATACTGAAGTAGACTTAACACCAATTGTGTGGAAATAAAAATTACTCCGAGAGAAGCCAAAGCCAAAACCACTTATGTCTTGTGATTTACAAAAAGGGTCCAGAGTTCTGGGAACTTGGGGTGACGAAGTTATGTTTTATTTGTGTGAATGTGTAAAAGATGTAAGGACAGTGGAGTCAGTTTGTAGACTTTTTCAGATGCCAGCTTTTACTCTCAATCAGTGGAATAAACTGACAAAAAATGAAAGGCAGTAGTATTAATCACCAGAAGGACAACAGTAAACCGTTACAGAAAACAAGTCAAAGACAGTTTCTCATTAAGACCCTTTCGTATATAAAAATCCATTTTTCGATCAACACTCCCACCTTTTCCTGGTTTGTAATCGGTAGGTTGGTGCTAAATGAAAGGACTGAGACTGGATGAACAACTTCTTTAAAATGTCTCGCCACTCATGACTTCATATCATTTCTGCATTTAGCACTTTTTTGTTTCAAAACACCAAAATCGAAGCCCATGTGGGAAATGAAAGGAGTTGTTTATGGATCTGCTTTTAAAGCTCACGAATAACACTCACATTTCTAAATCTGTCTTCAAATTTATTCTCACACCAAAGAGATGACTGAATCAAATTTTACATTTATATTCAATGTCCTTCTTCAGAATGCTGATGTTTCTAAATCACTCTCCTTCACTAAGAAAGTAATGAATTCAAAATTATTTTTACCAACAAGCGTCACCTACAAAAACACTTTCTAAACCACTTTATCTCCATTGCTACATGTTTATCGTGTCACCTTACAATCACGCATCATGGCAAGAACATTTTATGAACAGTTGTACTTCAAACTCATGTATTGACTCATCTGTAATCATTCTGTGAGATGATTAATTGATTATGAGAATCCAGTCATTCAGAGGAAGAAAAGAAGAGACAAACCTGCCTAGTTTAGGGGCAGTTTTGAGTTTCCATTCTGTGGGCCGGAAAAATACTGTTACTTAATTCAAGAATGCTTTGACTTGACTTGAACCACAGCATATACAGTATATTCTGTGTTTTACAATTGAAAGGGTGCTGGTGTTAAACTGTACACAGAAAAGTACCTGTAAAAGGAAAAGTTACACATGTTTTGACAGGGTTTTTTTTGTGTTTGTTTTACAAATATATTGAAGCCAACATGGAAAATCAGTGGATAACTTTGTTACTCCCTGGTAACAGTGTTTAAACAGTGTAAAAAAGAAGTACAGTGGCAGTGGAT